AGGATTTCCTGCAAAAAGATGATGCGCGATACAAGTAGATGCGAGAAATGAAATAAGATTTTTCGAAGATTGATTCGCTAGTGTGAAATTTGTTGAGATTTAGAATTGCTTCATTTTCGTAAATTCTATGCTAGAAGGTCGTCTCACTGCTTGGCAATATGATAAATTAGCGTACATGTAGGAATCGTGAATATCTCGGAAAATATATTCAATAAATTAAGTGTTGTTGTCCAGCGACATTTGCGAAATACTTTTGAAAATAGTCACTTCCTGCCTCGCTGCCTACCGTTGCCGTTAATTAACCATTTAATTCGAGTAGTTGAAAATGTCGTTTCCTGCCACTCGATCTTCGAAATAAATCAATATTCTGAGATTTTTTCTTCTAGAACCACGAGAAAAGTAACCAAAAATGGTGCTAAACGCATAATAAAATAGTAATTTGTTGGTCCAGTTTTGTGAAATCGCTGGTAGGAAGTCGCACTAAAAATGCTTGACGAAGTGGTCCATTACCCTATATTTTCCAGGGTGACCAGTGAACCGGAAAATCGGGAAAACCGGAAATAAGCTGGTAAATCAAAATAACCGAAAAAAAACCGGAAAGGACTCTATCTGCGATACACAAAAGATTTTGTTTTGCAGCGGTTAGCTGTGTGCACGCTGAGAAGATAGAAATAATTGATGACGATTCTGAAGATTTCCTGTTAAAAGATGCTGTACAATGTAAGTAGATGCGGAAAATGATAGAATATTATTTGAGCATCTAGAATTCAGATTTAGATGTGTCGCCCCCTCGGAAAAAAAACCCGTTAATTTCGATGGCAAACCGGGAAAAAATTACTTCGTCTATTCTCTGAAAAAAAAAGATGCTGGACCTCGAAAGAAATCAAAGACCCTTGGACTGGATTATATTTTTCTTATATTAAAATTTTGATTAAAATTCCAATGGAACTTTAAAGAGATTTTAGAAATAACATTTAACAAATAACAACAACTTATGTCAGAGAAAAATACCAAAGGAGTTTTTGAATAAAATCTTAGACAGTTTTAACGAGAACGCCAAGTCAATTGTGTGAGTTCAAAGTAGAATTTTTAGGTGACGATTGTAAAAAGGATTACAGGTCAAGTTTTAATTAATAAGATGAATAAGTTCTGAAAATAACACATGAATACCCCAAAAAAATCCGAGGGTATTGAATTCTGAGGAAATAAGAATGATAATTTACAGTGAATTCTGAAGAAAGTTCCAAGCGAAACCAAGGGCTTAGAATTTTTAGGATGTAATTTCAAAGGAATGCTGAGAAGAATTTTATGGGAATTCCGAGGATAGTTCCAAAGGTATCTTGAGGAGAATAGGAGAACTCTTTTCTTATAAGATAATTCTGAGCACAATTTCAAGACAATTCTGAGTTGAATTGGATGGAAATTTCAAGGGAATTCAAGTGAATTTTAAATATGTAGAATTATTGAAGGAAGTTGCAGGGAATTCTTGGATGAATGATCAACAATTCAAAGAGAATCTTAGGATAAATTCCTTGATTTTTTAGGAGTGTTCTGCTGAAAATTTCTGGACTGTTATAAAGGCATCTGTAGACTAGAGAGAATTTCAAATTTTAAAGAATTTCTGAAAAGAACTCTGTGAAGAAGGGACATTATTCTAAAGGCAATGATTGAGAACATTCTAAAAATATCCTGTAGAGTTCTGGGCGAATGCATATCAATTTTAAAGACTTCGAACGCATAAACAAATACCAGGAACAATTCTGCTGCTTACTAATTACAAATTTAACATATATTGTGCTTTATTCGGCTCAATCGCATTTGGTTTTATGTTTTAAATATATCTTCCCTTAAATTTTTGGAGGACACCCTGTCTTTGAGGTTAGTTATCCTTTTTGAAGTACTAGTCTTCACAACATAAAGGGCACCATTGCCATTACCATACAGGTAACTAGGGAAGAATTTCTAGAGAAATCCGATGATAATTTCAAGAAAACTTCGAGGGTATTGAATTGTGCGAATAGTCACGAATTAATTCTAGGGCAAATTCCAAGGTAAATCTTAAAATAATTTCTAGTGAATTCTGAAGAGAGCTCCAAAGGAATTTTAAGAAGCATACTAAGTGAATTGAATGTTGTGGGCAGTCTTGTAAGCGGTCACGGTAGTCGACACATTTTCTGTAATAATTGACTGCCTTTGCCTCCGACACTTGCAAAACAAGCTATCATAGTACAGTACCAAACTAAAACGAATGTATGTATTTTGTTTTTTCTCATAATAAGAGCTGCTGATGGTGTGCTTGTGTGAATTCTGAAAATAGCAAGCAATGATGTCCTAGTAATAATATTTCTGATCAAAAATGGTTTGATTTACATCAAATTGAGGAATTACAACGAAATCACACATATCATATGATAGCTATTTTGATAATTTTCTTTTAGCTCGAAAGTTATTCTACCGCTCGTGTTGTGTGAGAGAGACGACGGTAGAGCATGAGTGTTCGAATACAAAAAGACTGTCGCGCACGACAACGAAGCGAGTGTAGTAAAACACGTCAACTGTTTCAACCCCTGGTTGTGGGTACAATTTCAATGATATTCTGAGCTTTTTACCGTATTGGAATTTCGAGAAGAATATAGATAATTCTGAGCAGAGATAGTAGGCCCTGCTCACGAACGGTAATATCATAGGGTAACTCTAAGACTAGTAGGTCCCGAAGAAACGTGCTCAACTTTTTGGTTCAGCTCTGCCCTCTGGTACTATCTTCGGTCCCAAGCTAATCGATGCACCCCTCGAAACATAGGAAAATCCACGAACCCCACATTTTATCTGTCAAACTTTCATAGCGAATCAAAACAAATATTGTGTAGTACTAGAATATAAACTAGAATGGAGTACGTTAATCGATTTGCTTGGGACCAATAGGCTAGCCAAGTAGTGAGCCAATTTAAAATCGTTAGTTTCCACCGGTTACAGATATAGTCTGGCGGATAGAATCTCGGGAACCAATTGAGCTGTCAAAAAGCGGAACCAATTGAGCAAATCATGACCAACAACTGAAAAGAGCACATCAGCTATTGCGAACAAAGCTTCGGAAACCCTTTTCTCGTGACTCAAGGCTCGCCTACGCAAACTAACGCCATCTTTGGGTGGAGGAAAGTTTCCCCTATCCGATGATGCCGGTAATTTACGTTCGATTGGCGAGGAAAGAATAATCAACGTTTTGTTCATAACAGTTGATAGTGCCTTTTCAATTGTTGGTCTACAATATATTAAATTGGTTCCGCTTTTTGATCGATCGAAATTCTATCCGCCAGACTATGAATATAGCGACTATAGTTACGGAGCATGAGATTTCTAGAGTAACATTTGAAATGGGCCTATGTCCAAAACGTAAACAAACCAGAAAATGAATTTTAAATTTTGGCCGCCTGTATTCAATTCATATTTAAGAAAATTGAAGTATTTTAGGCATTTATATTGTTCACAACAACAATAGTAACTGTATCTCAGTATACAACATCCAAAATATGCGAAAACCTTTCAAAAATATATGAAAATCGATAACAATATAATTTCATAAATTAATAAGCCTTTTTTGTGAATCTTTCAATGGATTGGCCCTTTTTGTTAAGCCGTTGTGCTTGTCATCAGAAATGGTAGGCCCTTTGCTAAGCCTTTTCGCAACGTCAAATAAATTCAAAACAAATCATCGGCCCTGCCTCAAGCAGTAGGGCCTAGCTTTGGTTTGAAATTTTTCAATCATCGGCCCTTCTACGTCACTAGGCTTAACAATGAAATGAGATAAATGAATGGTTGGCCGTTTTAGCGTGCGGGCCTATAAATGAATCGAAAAATTTCGTTGATCGGCCGTTTCGAAAATCGAGTTATTTTTAATGATTTTTCTCGATTATGCGGAACTTTCTTACACGATTAGTAGCTATCAAGCGGTGCTAAAGAATGGTATCAAAACCCGATTTGTTTACGTTTTGGACATAGGCCCATTTCAAATGTTACTCTAGATTTAATCAAATTAATCGCAGTTCTACTTGTCCAACGTCCCCGGCTGGGTGAGGGATAGAGGATGACACCATGCTTGGCCACCAACTGCTCATTTGTTAATAACTTTTTACTCAGTTGTTGAAATTTGTTTTTCTTTAAAGTAATTGATAGGTTAGGATCATAGCTTACTATAGATATCCAAAAAGTAGTTGAATCTTAACATTTGAATCAACACCAATTAATTTTTAAGGCTTAAACGCAATGACAGTGGAAGCGGAACGGCAGCGGCAGCGGAAAAGCCCGATCTGAATAAGCCTACCTGTCGGATTTAAAACTAGTTAAAATCAAATCGACTTCGATTAGGCATCTTGATGTCATTTGTGACAACTGTCAAACTTTCCGTTTCCGTTCCGCTTCCGTCCACATTGCGTTTGGGCCTTTACTCTTCAAGTCCCAGATGTGCAGCGACCATTTCTTACTTTATTTTTACAACTCAAAAACAAATACAGTTTATTGCTAGAATTAAAATCTACTTTGTTTTATGTATCTATAACAAGCTTAAGCTCTATTCTATCTACTGCTTCAAAAAGAACTATGTTTCGTCAACTATGTGTAAAGTTATTAGCAAATGAGCAGTTTGTGACCAAAATTGTGTATGTCAAGCATGAATGACACACACACACACACACATGCCTTAAATATATGTATGATTTAAATTTATACCGTAAATCCGGTAAAATAACCAAAATTCCGGGGAAAAAACGGGAAATTGATAATCGGGGTTTGCGGGATTTGCTGGTCACTTCTTTTAATTTTGTTGAATGTTCACTTATTTGTACCATTCCAAATGAAACCAACTGCTTATAGTTGTAAACAAGAAAATCACATTGCGTGCAAGTTGACATTTTTTGACGTCCTGGCTAGGTGTCATAATAAATATCCCATCATAAAAATAACATCTTTATTTGTAAACAACGGAATCCAGCCAGAAACATGGAAAAGTGGTGTTTGAATTATTTTTAATTTTAAGTGAAACTGTAACATTTTCATAGGATAAAGTATATTATTTCGAGTGCTCACAACTAAGTGCATACGCTGTACAAGAGTTATATCGCACACAGTAACGTTTGAACATCAGCACAATGAGTTCAATCAATTCCATCTGGTAAGTAGATACCCATTTCAAATTATTGAACGTCTAATTCTTACACAATAAATGAACACTCCATATCCTTTGGCAGCCCCTTCGAGAAACAGGAAGTGATTTGTAAAATATGCGAAGGCACCGACGGAGCAATGGAATCAATTTTCTGCGAGCGAAACGACTACCGACTGTTGAACAAGATCTTCAAGTCTACCAACGTGAAGGTATGAAGTGAAGTTTTTGAATCAATTCCAATATGTCCTTCGACTTGTCCCTTTCTAGGTTCAGCCAGTATGCGGAATCCTATCGCCGATATGCGAATTTTGTCGTACCCGGATCGATCAGTTCGATGACAACTTCCAACCGCGGTGCAAAGAGTACGTAGTGGAGAAGATCATTTCCACCGCCCCCGATGACGATCCGTTCAACTGTTTGGATTCTTGCGCTGTCGACCAGCAAGACGTGGTTGGAAAAAGTGAGGAAATTGCCGAGAAGGCTACGGTAGAACCGTTTAAAATAGAACCTTACGTGCGGGAAGGTCGAATATCTTCTGCAAATGGAAACAAGGTAAAGGCTGAGCATTTTGATAACATAGATGTGCTGGTAGAAATTAAGAATGAATCTGAGTTGAGCAGTGAAGAAGATTGCAGATCGTCTAATGGGGATCTGGGACATGACAGTCATCCCACGATTGAAGATGAACAGGATACGAAAAACTGCGCTGTTATTGAACCGTTGAGAAAGAAGAAGAAAGGTCGACCGAAAGTAGAGTTCCCCTTGAGTGGAATCAAACAACCTACGAAATGTAAAGTTTGCAACAAGACGGTGGTCTACTTGAAGGACCACATGCGGATACACAACGAGGAAAAAAAGTTCAAATGTCCTCACTGCGACCGGTCGTTTTCGCAAAGTAACAACCTGATCTACCATGTAAGAAAGCATACGGGAGAGAAACCGTTCGCCTGTGATAAATGCGACAAGAGTTTCATTTGTAAATCACATCTGCTGTCACATTCGGTAAGTATTTTAAATCATCCCTTGAAGGAGCAATTTTTGGGGACATCTTACATTCTTTTGCAGCGTACCCACGTCAACGATCAACCGTTCCAGTGCGAAATCTGCTCAAGACGTTTCAACCAGGCCTGCAACTTGACTAAACACTTGCGCGTCCATAGTGGTGAAAAACCGTACAACTGCAACGTGTGCAGTAAAGCATTTATGAACCTTTCCAACATGAAAGCCCACGAAAAGCGCCATCGAGGGGAGCGGAACTTTACCTGCGAAATTTGCTCGAAAGGCTTCTACGATAACCATCATCTGGAAAGACACATGTCGGTTCACTCGAAGGAGAAACATTTTAAGTGCGTTCGCTGCCCGAAGCAATTTTCCACTCTGGAAGAACTCAAAGCACACGCAATACGCCACAAAGACCCAATGGAGGTCAATAGCTGTGATGTTTGCAGTTGGACCTTCACCTCGGTTCACAAGCTCAATTTGCACCTGAAATCTCACGAACCAACATTGCCGGAAGATGAGCCAGTTAGATGTGAAACCTGCCTAAAGCATTTCAAACGAGCAGAACAGTTGGAACTGCACCGGCAGCGCGTACACGGTGACGTCAAGCCCAAGAAGCTCCCCCGGGAGATCATTATCGATCCGGAAACGGCTGGCAAGCAGTTGGAGGGTCCCTTCCGGAAGCCATACCGTTGTGAGGTTTGTTCTAGGGAATTCAACCAGGCCTACAATCTGAAGGTGCACCTCAAGACACACATGCTGGGCGAGAAGCTGCATTCTTGCGACAAATGTCAACGATTGTTTCGACGACGAGACCATCTAGAGGCGCACCAGCGCAAGGCGGAATGCCTGCCGGAGACGGACCCATCTCTTGAGGATGGTACACTGAAACCTAAATTGGAAGCGGAACAAGTGAACGAAGGATATAGCCCACTGATTGATTTGCCCCCGGTGGCGGTTCCCGACAGGCAACAGATAGTGGTTAAGTATGAAATTCAAAATGTGTAACATCAGTATTGGGGAGGGAGGGGCGTTTGATAGAATAAAGAAGTTTGATAATTTAGCATATAAAAATACGTTTCCGAAGTCTTTATTACGTTCTGAGTAAAACCGAACGTCGTTTCCGGATGGTTTTTTCAAGCTTATCAGTGCTCTTTGAATCATAATATTCCGTACAGTGGGATACAGATGGCAACCAATAGTAGATTCAATTTCATATTCATATTCGTAATCTGCATTAAGAAAGGAACCAAACCCATCTAACATTGCAAGTTTTATCGAGGTTTTAAAGCATTCTACAAGTCTAAATCATGGTCTACAGAACCCTCATAAAACCACAATTGTTACTAGGGAAACCACGCTGTCAGTTGTCTTCTGTTCATCTGATGAACGGATAGAGCCCATATAGGATAAAATACAGACGGAGTGCCGTCACAGGAGTCCGTGTAACGATTTTGACAACGGAGTTGGAGGATATCATGGACCCGGGAGGGATAAACTATCTTTGATGAGCATTTTTCCGGTAATGTGTTAGGATTGTGGAGTGTTGCTATGTAAGTGATTGACCTGATTTCTTCAGGCTGGGTGGTCGGAATGATTGTACGCAGTCCGGCGCGAAATGATGTACCTACTTCTTCGGACCAGGCATTAGGATTTTTTAGTTGTTTTACCAACCATTCGATTTAGGAGAATCCAGAAAAAGTTCAGTGTTGCCAGTAGCTTTAAAGATCAGAAAAATGTAACCATGGGTGCTAAACAGTGCCAATGAGTGTGCCCAGGTGCGTCCAAGCTTATTTTTGGCACACTGTGCGTAGTGACCAACCTCTTTTGACTCTGCTTACTCTTCCTAATTGCAAAATTTGGGCCTGCTACCTCATTTCTGTTTAATTTTCTCCTCATAAAATTATTTGTCGTATGTGCCAACCGATCAAAACATATCTCGTTTATCTACACCGAAAAAAGTTTTCATATAGTTTCCATTGGGAACCGAGTTGGGAACGCACATGATATTTTTCCAATAACAAAATTAATGATTCTTATCTGAAATTCACATAACATTCATATGATCACATGAATTCTATGTGATAAATCACATAAATTTCATTGAACACATAAGGTTCATGTGATTTTGTAGTGCGATTCCCAATTATGAGATCACATGAAAGTTATGTGGAATTCTAATGGATATTTTCCTTTGGAAATGTGATTTATTTTTTGAGTGTAATTGATCAATTTAGATGGTTAAGTTTTGAACCCACTACAGCATGCTTTTGGCGCTACTGTAAATGGGCGATCAAACCTAAAATACTGTGGTATGCACAGCATAGTTCTGTCAAAACGTCAGCATTTTCATTGATGTATTGACATAAATGTTACATGCCACACAATCAAAAGAGTTGTGCTAACAAGCGCGAGTAACTAACAGTTCATCACCATTTTTTGCAATCAAAGGTGCACCTGTCATCTACACCCTTTATATTTTTTTATGGACGGTGTGGTGTAGCACCGGTGTAACGGGTGTGACTACACCGCATAAACGAAAACGACATAAAAAAGTAGAAGGGTCTGTGCCTAGGGGTACGAACGGAAGCTTGACGTAGGACCGCTAGTGGACGGAACAAATTTGAACATTTAGTTCTTTTAATTGATCAATCATGAATTATCTTAACTCTTCCCGTTTTTTATTTGTAAGCGTATCAAATTTGTAGTATTTATTTCAAAGAGAAAGTTGATGAAGAGAATCCAAGGGACTGTCAACTTGAGTATTTTCGATTCATCTAACCGACTTTAAAAGGTGTATATTGATTTTTTGTTATTTATGAATTTTTAAGTTTTGTGCATTTTGGTATTAAAGAGTATTCAATTAACCCTTCACAGGATTTCCTTCCGAATTATATGAATGGGGCGGGGCGGAAAGTATCGTTTGTGCCAAGGGGTAAGTCATTCAGCACATTGTGCCGAGATTATATTCGGCACAGCTTGGGAACATCCATCGGCACATTTTCAGCATATCTTCGGCACAATCTCGTTGGCATTAGATTGTTGTAAATAAAATGAGACCACTGCTGGACAACTGTCATTGAAGTTGTTCAGAACATTACGTGCTGTTTGACTGTATGTTCAGGAACATCTTCTAATTGAATATACCAGAGGAACTCATACCAGCAGTTCACTTATAGATCTAAATACGAAATGTAGGTTCCAGAGTGGGCTCAAGAGAAAGAGGCAGTTGATCAAACCTCATTAGTACTCTTAATTCAAATAATGCTGCAATTCCCACAAAACAAACTAAAGAAGTCTATTCATCACCCTCTATAGTTGGTCCAAAACAATGCTCCCCACCGGTTCCAACTTTTTCCTGCCGAAAGGCTAGGCTTCTGGTCTGCCTTTGCTTTGCCATTATTAAACACTAAAACACAGGACTTTTATTACCCTATGGATCACAAAACACCGAAATTTCGCACACTCGCCACTTCCCGCGTCATCCTCAATCCAATTTATCCTTGCAATTCCAAACCAAAACATTCAAGGTGTCAGAAATACCGGGTTGCTGGGATGGGTGTTTTACAAACAATCGCAGCTTGCTCTATGACCAGCACAATCGACATACTTGCGGCACACTGACAAAAAAGATGACCCAAGATTGGTGTGCGGAGTGACCTACCCCTTGGTTTGTGCAGAATGTGTAAAAAAGATGGGAATTCGAGAGAGCTAATTTTCTCACAAATTTGATTTTATTGGCTTTCTGGGGACTGAATTTACACCCAAAGCGAATTATTCCCACTTCTCTCAAATTCTATAACACTTCCTACCAGCGTGTTCTGGAAAATGGTCGGACGATGATTAATTTCACCAATACATTCGGGCCTACAATTCCACACCTTATATAGAGACCAGGTTGAGCCTTGATAGCTAGCTGCTTGCGAGAACTGATGACCTTGACAAATGTCCAAATAATACTCTTAACAAATTTATGGTGGTCCTGAAAAGGACCGTTTTGTAGTGATGATTGAGTAATGCTGAGCTGAGCACGAAGAGCTACTGATTCCGATCCTAGCCTAGCGGTGGGACTTCTTCCTCCTTCTCTATGGTTGCTCATATGAGCTCTGCAGCTCGCTGCTTGCAGGCAGCCTTTCGTTGTTGTTGTTGTTAAAAGCACTTCTGCTGCTGCTGCTGCTGGACTGGACACCACCACTTACGGTGATTGAATGAGTACCGTTCAGTGGGACCGCATCGAATCCGATTTTTAAGTCTGTGTTAGGGAATGCGCTGTTTTCAGACATTCGGTGATAATTTTGATCACCATTGCAACAGTTGGACATTTGGTATTTTTCAAAAGTGACCTATTGAAAATTAACTAAGTGTTCATTTTAGCAGATGGGTAGATAAATTTCCAATCGTTTGGCTTGCTTAGAATTAAAATCTATCTGCTATTGGTCGAAACCTGACGTCTTTTCGTAATGCTGTGCATTTTGGTTTTTTGAAATTGCGTTGATTTTGTTCGATTTTATTTATTTGTAAAGTCGCCGGGAAAGACCCGCTGGCGATTTGTTTTTATGATAACTCCTTACTTGAAAACAGGCAAAACTCACAAACAGGCTGCTTTTTCATGGTATACAGTGTGATAATTCAATAATCAATAAATTATCTCTACATTTAGTGGCAATCCATTCATAAATTTTGGTAACATACAAAAAAATTTATAATCCACATAAAATTTCAAATGTAAGCGCCGATTGAAACAATCTTTTCGACGTCACTACAAGGGTGATTGATTAAACGAAAGAAACGAATCGTGCGGAATGAAAACCGAGGAAAAACTAATTGCACCAATATATTCAGGCCTACAATTCCACACCTTCTATAGACAGGTTGAGCCTTGATAGCTAGCTGCTTGCGGGAAATGATGACCTTGACCAATGTCCAAATAATACTCTTTAACAAATTTTTGGTGGCCCTGAAAAGGACCGTTTTGTAGTGATGGTTGAGTAATTCTGAGCTGGGTGTTCAACACGGATGAGGCTGTCGAGCTGTATGTCGTTTACACCGAGGGTGACACACTTGGCATATATGACCGACTCGCAGCGACTCACGAAGAGCTACTGATTACAATCCATAGCATAGCGGTGCAGCTTCTTCCTCCTTTGATGGTTGCTTATGTGGGCTCTGCAGCTCGCTGCTGGCAGGCAGCCTTTCGTTGTTACTGGAGAACAATTTTCAACGCCACACGCCGAAAGCACTGCTACTGCTGCTACTAATTTCGACGACCGAACACCACCACACAGTGGTGTGGTCGTTGGGAGCGTGTGGTTCTGCTGTGGAGCGTGTGGGAGCATGTGGCGATGAATGTGTAAAATATTACGCAATTCCATCCTCCCTATTCGCCCGAGGATCGGAGGCGAATTCCACTTCGACTTGTTTCGTCTACTTACTTCTCTCTGACGACTGTGCTGGGGAAGCAGCATATGCATGTAGGTAATTGGTGGATTTGTTAGTAAATTTGACGCTTTTGGACAATGCTGGACATTTACCAGTTTTTCAATAGTTTTTTGTTGAAAATCAACATTCGAAAGCATTGTTATCGATGCGTAGCCATATTTCTGATCGATTTTTGGTAAAATTATTGAAATTGGACCAGGGGCAGCTGAGTTATTAACGTTCAAAATCTTTCTTAATTTGTTACATGTCACAATTTCGGTTTTCACAGTTTATCACAGTTTATATAGAAATCAAAGACGTAGTCCTACGTCAAAACGCATCGTGTACCAATTTCAGATTTTTTGATTGAGCCACAACTTGTGTGCAAACTTTAAGGCACTTTGCACGCAACATCAACCTGTGTTCAGCCACGTTCACACTCATTAACATGGCAGCAGACAAACGTCAAAATGCAACAAGAAAAACAGTGAAAAAGTGCTGCATGAGAAAAAAAAAATACGTTCCGGGAGCTCGGCTCGGGTTCGGCTTCGCTGTTTTCCTTCAGTTGCCTTCTGTCAACCGTTTGCGTT